TGTGAATAAATTGAATAATGAATGTGGCACAATATTAAATAGTTGCATGATGACGTCAAAGAAACTAGTCAGACTACATTTGCAAGTTTTGCAACTCTCATCGCTTAAATTCCCCATACCTGAATACAAAATAAACAGTAAACAACGATTACCTTTTACATACCATATATAAAACGGAGTTTTCATCCTTTCTGGAAACTCACTTCCTGAACTTTTGAGCGCAAATGTAATGTATTAAAAATGTATATCATATTCACAGCAGTTAATACCATTAATATATCGCGGGCGCAATACAAAACAAAACACGAGAATTTTAAAATGTTTTGATTTGCAAATAAATAAATAATATTTGATGTCATAAAAATGTTTAAATTTAACTCAACACAAACTGGTAAGTTCATGACTTGTATAATTTACTTATATGTTGTTATATTGCAATTCTGTACCCTACTCCTTTGAAAATTGTTTGCAATTGCATATGATGTGAACATGTGGTCATGTATTATAGTTGTGTCATGAATTTAATAATACCCCAATGGCTTCGAAATAGACAATGGATGGAAAAAGTCATGAATATTGAGCTTATTTACCCTTTAAACACTTGATCGTCATGCGCATACAGTGTATTGTTTGTTTCCAGAACCCCCTCAAGCAAACTTCAACTTTTTTTGTTAAATTGTATATAATATTTTGCTTCATACACTGTTTTTGTGTGTGTGTATGTGGGAACATTCATGTTTGGATGCTTGGCATAGGTTAATGGTAATTTCATTGGAGTCATCAGGGATATAGTTTGTATATTCCTGAAATTACCTCTAAACACCTAAAACAGCATTCCCTAAAATTTTAATTGTTTTCTTACATTGCCCTATATCGCTCAAACTCGCATTGCTTAAATTGCAGATTTTGCTTAAATCACCTAAAATTGCTTAAACTCACATTATCTCGTTATCGCCCCAGAGTAGAGCCTACTGTTGCCATTGCTTTTTAGTCCCCAATACTTCAGTGAGTCATGCTTTGAAAATGACAATAATTTTTTTATTACCCAACCCTTGAGTTGTTTTGTTTTTCATTTACCCAACCTTTTACTTACTCAAAATTTAGTTTACCCAACCCTTTTCTCTTCGGTGCCACCCCCCGCCATAAATAATGACCGGTCCCTTATAGCGTAAAAGAACATGCTTCAATTAGTAAAATTGCCAAATTTGGTTGCAAATGTTGTAAAATATGGAAAATACAGCCCTGTGAAATTAGCAAATTTAATTCAAATTTTAATTCAAATTTTAATTCAATTTTTTTTTTTTAGTATCACCCGCGGAAAAATGCACCACTTTTGAGCCGAAAGTTTCCATCATTGAAACTTTCCCAAGGGGAGGTGCATGACTTTTTAGGGAGGTGCAAAACGATCTCAGGGGAGGTGAGCACCTCCCCACACCTCCTCTCAAAATGTTTAACACTTGGTATATACATGTGGTCTGTGGTTCATAAAACATATTGTTACCCTCGGTCCCATATATAGTCCAGTCAATCTGTGACCAGAGATCAAAGAAATTGCAATAGAATTTTTTTCAGTGGTAAAATGTGAGGGAAGGTGTCCTGATTAACATACTAAAAATCCCAAAAAATCCCTTCGGTGGAACATGGTGAAAATCGAGTTTCTCTTAATTCTACCACGTGGACAGAATGTTCAAATTTTGAAATCATTTTTAGGCAAATGTAACCTAAATTATTGGAAATCTTAATTAAACAAAATTATATAAAGGTCAATTAAACCGTTATATTCAATTTACTAGCCAGTTTGTCGTTTGCACAAAATACAAATTTATGGCATTTTCCCCGAGCCGACGGCGCGAAGCGCCTACTAATTCCCCCCGGCTATTTACACCCGGGGAAACGAAAGCATTAGCGAAGTCTAAAGTTCATCAATTATCGCGGGCGTGGGTCACCAACGATGGGTGGTCATCCTCACTGATCTAAAAAATATGGCGGACTGTCATGAATAGCGGACACTGATTGGTCCAATTTAAAGTTTGCATTATAACGACTGCATGACGACAGCGAAATAGCAAACATTTTTTCATTTCTTGATTTGATGATTGATAAATTTCTTGCAAATATATTTAATTTTTGCTCGCATTTTGGCAAGATTTTCTAAATTTCAAAAGGTTTCTCAGAAAGAAAGGGCGAAAGAATCGGCTAAAAGAAAGGAGTCGACGTTAACGAAGGTAAGTTTGTTTTAAATATTGATTTTATAATGACTTTAAAACCCGACGGCCTTTGCGTATATGAAACAACTATTACAAGACAGGTTAGACAGCATATAATTTCAGTGTATCTTTAATAATATTGATTCCCTTTTTTATTATATTGAATTTTTTAAATAAAAAAGAAAGCAAAGTCATTTGCAAGCGAGAATTTGAAATCATTTTATTGCAAACTCAAAGTTTATCGATAAAGCCATTTAATTACAGGCAGTTTAGTTTTATAAAGAACACTTTAAAACGTTTTGCGAAGCGTTTGTGGTTGAATTTTACCTTAAATTGAAGCTTATATTACGTAACATACCTAACATATATATGTTGGGAAATTGATAATTTTGTAATTATAAAAGTGATATTTTTAGGCGATTTTTCATTTGTAAGAATATTCTTAAAAATCATCGTGTTACCATGACAACTACTTTAGATACTTCATGTTCGGAAAATACAATGGTTTTGTCAGCAAGGCGAGGGTTTTTGCATGCATGTATTTTCTAGTAAATCTTGTATAACTTCGGCTGCATAGGCAAAAGCAAGGTAACCGTTTAATTGAGCTATAAATTTAGTTTTTTCTAAGCTTTCCAATGATGCAGGTTATATTTGCAAAAAATAATTTCAAAATTTCAACATTTTGTCCGCAATGGTATTCTGTTGGCAGAAGTAAGAAAAACTCGATTTTTACCATGTTCCACCGAAGGGATTTTTTGGGATTTTTAATATGTTAATCAGAACACCTTTTTCACACTTTACCACTGAAAAAAAAACTATTGCGATTACTTTGATGAGGACCATGTACTTATAATGATTTGACTGGACTAATAACTGTTAAATGTATAATCTAAATTATCATAAAATATATTTCAAACAATTATAAATAAAATGATATTATCACGGTAACATTTTACTTTCTTTATACTTACTTGTGAAACTGCATGTCCAGTCCAACAAAGTCACCCAAATTTCGAGAAATAACCCAACTTCTCTCACGACAGCTGACTTTAACCTGTATTAAAAGTGCAGCCAGTGTACACATATTTCAGAAATATATTATATTAAGGGCTTGGCTGGAAACAATGAGGTAGCTGTTCGCCATTTTAGATATGCAAGTCAAATCTACCGTTGGGCAAAATTAGCTACTATCTTTATACAACCACTGGTCAATACGAACTGAAAACGTAACATTAGAAATTATTTTTAAATTTAAGAACATGATGCTTTTCCAATACTCAGTTACTTATAGAAGTATATGTAGTTTTACAAAGCCCTGCTTCTGAGGTCACTAGAACCGTAGCAATGGGTTAAAATGAACACAATTAAGGTGGCAGACAAGTCGTAGTTTTTAGTATGGATTTTAAGGAACCTGTAAGGATGTCGCATGAAAGTTTAAATAGTGCAAAAACAAGTACATCTTCGTTTTTGCACTATTCAGATTTCTTGAAGTACATCAAACAAAATACAGCCTGGTTCACACTGACGATTCCTCTTCCTGACATATGCAAATTGGTTCACAACATGCACAAGGGATAAAGTATAACAGGATAATGCATGGTTGACATTATCCGGCTCAATCTTTTCCGAAGGTGACGTGATGCAGCGTATCAAAGCACGATGCTTGCGATTTACAACTTTTCCTGTGATAGACAGACCACAGTCATAATGACTTATTGCCATTTGGCCGTTTGCAGTAGCCAAAAATGGCGAAATGGACTCGGACAACTTTGAATCACGACGTGATTAAACTATTCGGAAGGTACAGTATTCGGGTCTTTCCTAACTTATGTGACACGTAAAGACATTAGCTATTATTGAGACTTTATGCAATGGTTTGCTTCTTTGTCCTTCCTCAGCGTATTTTTAACCAATTCAACAATAATATATATTAGCAACATGTCAATTAACCGACTGTCAATATCGCGGATGTAGCTAGTAATATATTGTAGTAATGATGCCTCACCTGAACGACATCTCCTTCTTCATCGACTGGTGTCGTCTTCCCGGGTTCTTTGCTTTCAAATATACACATCTACAAAAGTCGCATTCATTATTCATATATATTCATATATATTGATTGATAGATAGATAGATAGATATATATAGATATGATATAAGGAAGTGTTTCGCAAGACTGATCATGCATTTATTTTGGAGACAAAGTTTAAACCCAGAAAAGACAGAAGTACGCATTCTGCATCTGGTATCGCTATGTTTTTTTACCCATTCGATTGACATGAAAACTGCATGTTAAGAATCTTATTGAGGGGACGTTTGAGCCTACATTTAGCTAATAACAACGTATTAACAGAGCACACCATGCTGACCACAACACAAGTTCAAGTACTGTGTGGTAAAACTGTAAAAGTACAAGTACAAAGTGTGATACAAGTACAGTATAAAAGTGTGGTACAAGCCAGGGTGTTTAGCCAGAATAAAAAATTCGGCAATTTAATGAAATTGGGAATTTCAGTTAGCCTGCGACATTCAGACCGGAGTTAAGAAATATCGTGTTTTTTAAGTGACATTCTCGTGGCCTAGCGCCACCTAAGCTAAATTGAAATTTTTGAAGTGCAATTAAGTCACCTGATATTGCATTGTTTGCGTACTAAAAATAGACAAATATATATTTTAGGCTGCATGACATCCTCGCAACACTTATCTGGTACCCAATTTTTCTTGAGCAAAGTTTTGAAGTTGAAATTACTGGCTAAACGTAATTATGCATAAAAACGGCGTATAACGCCGAATTTTTTACTGTAGCTACAGTACAGCCCTAATGAAAGTTAACATCGTGTAACGAGCGAGTTGCGAGTTCGAGCGAGAGGCTATCGAGCGCGATTTGACCCCTAACGAGAAATCTGCGAGTTGCGAGTACGCGAGCGCGAAGCGAGCGAGCGTTCTCGAAAATTTTTAATATCGAGCGAGTGTTCTCGAAGACTTTAATTAGATATCGAGCGAGGGTTCTCGAAAATTGTTTGTATCGTGCGAAATCGAGCGAGAGTTTGACCAACATGTGGCGAAATATAGGATAATTGCTGTTTCCTTGCATGGAAAACGTCATGTATTTTGACATATATTTACCAGTTCCCTAAAAATATAACTATGATAGGGTGATAGCGGTTATATATTTCGTTACTCACCTTTACACAACCTCAAGATAAACAAAATTCCCTGGTTAAGTCAGCGTCTGTTTATTCGAAGTGTTACATGTTAGTGTTAGTAAAAAACACTCTCTTTCTATTATATACTTTATTAGAATTAGCGGCTCAACGTACTCGTTATCGTTAGTCAGAAATAAACTATTTCCAAAATTTTACGGTGTGACTCATACACCAAAACAATCTACATAATTATAGCCTTAGGCTATAAATAATGTTAGTTCGCTTCGGTTGATTGCATTTAGTAACCGATAGCTGTATTCATGCACAATCTTTACAACCACAATAACAGGAACTGCACCGACAACTTATTGTCTCGTATGGATTATCGAAAACAAAAGAGCATTACAAATGATGTCAGTGAAAAACATGCTGTCTGATTTATACAGCGTCTTAGGCTCATTACTGTTTTGATCTCTGTCGGTGAGCCTGCTGTGAGAGACATTATAGAAATAGAAATAAGAACGCGATGTCTTCAAGAAACTTGACGAAGTTTTACTTTTACGCTGATAAGACACTGTTAGTGGTGTCGCGTGAGAAGTTACTGAGCGCAAATATTAAAGTAGTCATCGCGGTCAAAGGAAGTGACGTCCAAGCGATACTGCATTGAAAGGCATGGAAAGCGAAGTTGATATCTTTTGGAGGTAAAATAATACATATTTTTTGTAGATTTTATTTCGTTTTTATTTCAAAATATTGATTGTGGATTTTAATGTTGCTGGATTTTAATGTTGTCCTTAAAGATCAGTCAAGAATTGGCTCTGTATTGTTAATTTCAGTTTACCCCGTGTTTTCGCACGGACTTGCGAAGCAACGTTACTTCTACCAGTAGTTGCAGATTATTTACGTATGCGAAAAATTTTACACGCAGTATAGCGCTGCGAGAATTCTCGTGAATGTTTGCATCGAGATTTCTCGCAAAATTCTTGTGTATCGAGTAACGCGAAGCGCGTTTCGAGCGAGCGAGAATTTTTATCGAGCGAGAATGGTTAACTTTCATTAGGGCCGTACTGTACAGTATGGATAATAGGAATGTGCCAGATCCAGATACCAGTTAAACCAGACATCCGGCACTATTAGGTGGTTGTTAAAATCTTGCCAGATATTTACCAGATACCACTACAACTTTTATTCTAAGAACATGAAGCTGACTCTGCTGACAAACTGTTTTCTTTGTCTTTTTTGTACATTCAGAAATTGGGAACAGGGACAATTACTGGGAGAAAAAGTTGTGATGTTCAAAGTAAATATCTGCTATCCGCTGTAAGTGCTGTAGATTCAGGGCCGTAACTACTGGGGCGGGCCCAACTTGCCCAGAGGGGGCCCGGAATTGCAGAATGTGTTTTAACACATATTTAAAAATTTGAAGGAATTTTCTAAACAAATGAGGTCGAAAAAGATCTGAAAATATATTTTTAAGCCCCCATTATCTCAAACTAGTGTTTGGATAAATTTTTGGGATGTTTTGCTTTCGGAAAAAAAACGTCGAACACCCCCCCCCCCCCATTACAATTATATGCATAATTAATAATCGTAAAGCATCAGCCCTTCAGGTATCTGTTTGAAGTCCTGGCTAATAATAATTTGGGTATGGCCAATACTGTTTTGCTCTACTGAGGCTCCGGCTATTAATTGATGAGCGTAGCGAGTATGCAAAGAATGGGAGGTCGAAGCTTGAGTGGTGGGCAAAGGGAAGCTTTATGTATTTGGTATATTATCTGAGTGCGAGACTGGGCTAAAAATTTCAGCTTGTCATGACTGCAAGTACCGGCGAATTACACACAGCCTCTGGCGAATGGCTGTCACATGTCTTCTTAGCGCTGGCGAAATTCGCCGTTCGCCGGCCTAAACCAAGATGGGTGAAGCATCACAACTAGAATCTGATATCTGACTATTATCCAGTACCAGGCTATCATTTTTTTCCTGACTGGTATCTGTAGGCTATTATACTGTAGTATCCAGTACCATCTGGTGTCTGGCAAAACTATATTATTTACATCATTTGGCCATCTCTAATGGACAGGAATGTGTTAGAATTCTGCAACTTAAATTTAGTATAGGTAATCATGCGATGGCGAGTACAATTAGGGATTAATAGTACGAGTGATGTTTGGAAATTTTGCCAAAATTGGACGAGCTGCCGGGGCGAGTCCAATTTGGCAAATTTCCAAACATCACGAGTACTATTAATCCCTAATTGTACGAGCAACATCGCATGATTACTTGTTTATTATTAGCATGACAAAATTGGATACGCACATGTCAACATGATATTCTCTCGCCAAAGCCCAGTCCTGCCAGACTTTCAACCAAAATTTGGTGCTTTTGTTTGTATTTTCATTTAGTTCTTTTCTTCAAGCAAAATTTGGTGCTTTTGTTCATATTTTCATCTAGTTTCTCTATGGCAATTTCGTTTCACATTTGTGTTTAAAATACCTTTCCGCCATTTTGTTTGTTTTGGGAAAATCATTAATTGTACTGCAGTACAATTAATGAAATAATTGTACTCCTCTCAACCAATCAGCATCCAGTAATTTTGTCATGCCAGTAATAATACTCCTAATACACAGTATTTCAGTGGTAGACACTAGATGGTACAGGTGTATGTACCACAGAATATCACAACCACAGATGACGGAAACATGCTAGTATATACTTTATTTTTGTGCATGTTTGAAAGTAAGTTTGAAAATAAGTTTGCAAACAGTTTTGCCAACAGTTTTTCTAAGCGATACATTTCAGGAATATCACTACGTAATCAAATTTTTACAGTTCAGGAATATCACTAAGTAATCAAATTTACTATAAAAAACTCAATTTTTCAAAATTATTGGTAAACCTAACATACTGTATTAACCTTCAACTAAATTAAGTTAGCAATATCTGTACACTCAGTGTTATCACACAACATGACACACCAAATCCTTGTACAATTTGATAAACCATATTCCTTACTTATTGCCGCACTGGTATTCTGTGGTACATTAATTAGGATTTTATCCACAGAATGTTCGATTTAAAAAATAATAGAATCTGCCAAATCTAACCCCAAAAGACCGCACAGGAAGAAAAAAATAATGAAAAACTATACTAAAAGATATTTAACAGGCTATATGTTATATGCATTTGACAAAAGATATGGAACATGTAAATTTGTGTGGTATTCTGTGGTACATACAGGTCTGTAGGGCAGAGGGCAACTCTTAACCTAAAAGTCCTAAAAGGCAAAGTCTGTTACTTCATTTGAAATGAACACCAATTAAAGTGTAAATGACACAAACAGAATCATACCCAACTCATTTAAGAATCTGTTTTGCTGTTCCTGACATCCAGCATTTCAACTAAATGGGAGGCGATGGAGGATAAGTCAACATCATTTGGTATAATCACACAAGTTGTTGAAGTTTCTTCTTGAATAACTGATTCTTGATTACCGGTACCTGCTTCTTCAATAGCTGTTTTGACTGTTTCTTGAATTTCTGCTTTAATATCTGTTTCATGAATAGCTGTTACTTCAATAGCTAATTGTTGAATATCTGTTTCTTGAACAGCTGTTTCTTGAATTGCTATTTCTTGAACATCCATTTCTTGAATAGCTGTTTCTTGAATTGTTATTTGTTGAATCCCTGTCAGTTGAATAGCTGTTTCTTGAATAGCGATCTCTTGAATATCAGTTTCTAGAATAGCTGCCGCCTCAATAACCGTTTTTTCAACAGCTGTTCCACGTTTCTTATGGGTTCTTTGATGTTTGTTTCTTGTACCCACATGACCAAATGCCTTATCACAAAGTTGACATTTGTATGGTCGTTCCTGAGTGTGTACATTTTGATGAGCAACAAGGTTACTCGATTGGCTAAACGTTTTATCACAAAGCTGACAATGATATGGTTTTTCACCACTGTGCGTCCTACCATGTACTTTTAATGCAGTACTACTTGCAAACGTCTTGTTACACTGATCACAAGCGTACTTCTTGTTGTGAGTTTGTTCATGGATTTCAAGAAATTCAGGTTTACTAAAGCTCTTTTCACATATCGTACACACACATTTCTTGTCTTGAGATTCTATATCTGTTTCTCGAATAGCTGTTTCTTGAATAGCTGTTTCTTGAATAGCTGTTTCTTGAATAGCGATCTCTTGAATATCAGTTTCTAGAATAGCTACCTCCTCAATAATAGTTTTTTCAACAGCTGTTCCATGTTTCGCATGGGTTCTTTGATGTTTGTTTCTTGTACTCACATGACCAAATGCCTTGTCACAAAGTTGACATTTGTATGGCCGTTTCTGAGTGTGTACATTTTGATGAGCAACAAGGTTACTCGACTGGCTAAACGTTTTATCACAAAGCTGACAATGATATGGTTTTTCACCACTGTGCGTCCTAGCGTGTAGTTTTAATGAGGTACTACTTGCAAACGTCTTGCTACACTGATTGCAATCATACTTTTTGTTGTGAGTTTGTTCGTGGATTTCAAGAAATTCAGGTTTACTAAAGCTCTTTTCACATATCGTACACACACATTTCTTGTCTTGAGATTCCACATGGGCATTTTTGTGTCTCGTCCAGTGTCCAATGTGTTTGAACACCTTCATGCAGACACCACATTCATAGGTGTCAGTCTTTTCATGTGTTAACTTATGCTTGCTTAAAGTACTTATGTGACCAAATTCTTTGTGGCAAACCTGGCATTGGTACGGTTTGGCCTGGGTGTGCACTGTTTTATGAGCATTCAAGTTGCCAATCTGAGTAAACTTCTTGTCACACTGATCACACTGATAAGGCCTTTCCCCACTATGTGTTCTTTTGTGAACTTTTAATGACGTTTCTTGTGAAAATTTCTTATGACAAACATCACATTCATGCGACTTCTCACCTGTGTGGCGTACTTGATGTCTGCTCAAGCCCTTTTGATCAACGAAGCATTTCTCGCAGGAATCACAAGCGAACGGTTTAAGCCCCGTATGTCGAATCTTGTGGCTTTTCATATTGCCCAGCTGAGTGAACTTCTTACCACAGACGTCACAGGCGTACGGCTTGGAACCCGAGTGAATTCTTTTGTGAATGGTCAAGTTCGTAGCCAGAGAAAAACTCTTGCTACAAATATCGCAAACATGTGATTTTTCACCGCTATGAACTCGGACATGTTGCTTCAAAGCAGCCAAACGGTCGAACGATTTCTCGCAGTCGTTGCATTCCCATTTGTTCTCCATTTTTAAAACAACAGAAACACTGTATTCAGCGCATAAATATAATTTGAAAATGTAGTACAAATCTTGCCAAAGTTGCCAGCAATTTGAAAAGTTGGAAGCGTGTGAAGATTAGAAATGAGCCTCCTAGTTCTTCGGGTAGCGGTAAGAGTTAACGAAATGGCGCAGTACTTCATATTAGTGACGTTCATCTGAAATAAGACTGGATAACGCATCTATAGTTAGCCCGCGTGCAGGCCCAAGGGAGCAGGCTCAAGGGAACTTGATAGTGGGCCTGCAAGCAAGGCCCGGTATTTTGTACTTTCCGCGTTCGCCCACGAACGCGGCATTCTGATTGGCTGTTTGCTGTTAGATTCTATAATTAGATAAGTGATTCATCACAAAGGCTCTCGATAAGCTTAAAATTCGAAAATTGATCACTTTTTTCGATTATAAATGGAACAAGAACAGACTGTTTATTGTTCACTTGAAGGAAGAGATGTTTTTGCCGTTATGCCAATGGGGATTGCTTGTCGTGAGGTGTTGGAATAGCACTCATTACGACCAGGGGCGTAGGAAGCACCTGGAGTTTGGGGGGGCACCGGCTTGTAGGGGCACATTACTATCGGAAAGGGCACCTAAAAAATTTTTCCCGGAATTTCTCCTGAGGAAAATTTTCCGTCGTATCATACCGAAATTTATGTTTGTGACCTAATTTTTAAAAAAAATTTGTAAATTTCCACACAAAAACGGCACCTATTGTTTTAATTTAGTATTTACAGCGACATTAGCTTCTACAAAAGGGGCACTTTTCCTCACAAAAAAGGGCACTTTTCAACACAAAAAGGGCACTTTTTATCACAAAAAAGGGCACTTTTTATCACAAAAAAGGGCACTTTTAGTCCTTTAAAAAAATTTGGGGGGGCACGTGCCCCCCGTGCCCCCCCCCCGCTTCCTACGCCCCTGATTACGACTGGGGTAAACTATAGTAACCTTTACTTGAGTTTCATTAATTTCAAACAGACTTGATACGTTATATGTTCCTCAAGAAAATTATCTTTTGGTTGATGTTGAGATTCAGTTGCATTTAAACCTATTCGAAACACTTTGCGATTTACAAGGCTTCGCTGAGAGAGCGAAAGAGAAGACGGTATTAAATTGCCGTTTGAAACGAAACGATCTGGACTCTGAACGCTCTCTTCTTTTGTAGAGTTCTTTACCAAATGAAATAACTGAAATAAATTTCGTACTTTCCGCCGCCAACAAGAAATATTGCACACATGATCTGATAAGTGAGACAATTTATTTATAACAATGGCAACAGCGAAGCACACATTATAAATGCTAATGTGGTCGCACGACTTCCCTCACGATTTGAAGTTTGAGACTGGTTTTCTGTTGAAATTCGTCCTAATTTGCCTGTTCCGATTTTAGTTGAAAATGAGCACTTGCAAATTTGGCAATTACTGACTGCGTTGCTTGCTTTTTTGGAGTTAAAACGCAGCCATTTACACATTGTTTATGTTCTGGATAAGCAGAGAAAACCCCGCAACATTTTAATGCGAGTTTGTTTGTTAATATTTGGGTGCTGTCATTGGTTCTTTTTTGACAATTGACGCGCGAATGGGGCGTGTTATGAAAAGGGGCGTTTTACAAAATACCGGGCCTTGCTTGCAGGCCCACTATCAGTTCCCTTGGGCCTGCACGCGGGCTAGTGAAATCGTCGATTCGGTAAAAATGTTGAAACAAGCAGCCGGAAGATTTTTGACGTTTTTATCTACAAAGAAAGCTTCAGGTTTTCATTACAATCCTAAATTTTTCTGAATTCGAACACTACGTATGTTATTAGCCAGTTTTAACCTTCCTATCTTTTAGTGTGTTTTTATCAGGTAGTATTTTACGACTAAAAGGGCACTTCTGCCTCCCTCGCCCCCCTAACAAAAGGCAAGAGGGGCAGCTGCCCCTCCTGCCCCCCAGTTCCGGCGTCCTTGCTTGCGACGAACTTTTCATTTTAATACGCGAATATACCATTACCCGGAAGTACGTGGATTTATAAACTTTTTTCAATCTGCGCATGCTCACCAGTACGTTTCGGTACGATATGGGTGAAGTGGAAAATCGGCTTAAATTATTATTATTATTATATAAAAATATTTTAAAACGGTAGCTCTTCAGGGCTCGTAGGCACCTGTTTTTCAAGAGGCCGTTTATTACAGTATTTACAAGCTATATAAATATAATAACACAAATATACACACAAAAACAGAGAAAACATAACGAACTTAATAATTGCATTCACTACATTTGTATCTAAAAATATCCTATCCTATTTAAATATTTACAAAGTTACCAAAAGGAATCAAGTGCCGTCAAGAATACGTTTAAATTTGTTAAGGCTAATGCCTTTTTCTTTTGCTGTAGTTGATAAGTCATTCCAAAGGGATGCAGCTGAATAACTGAAGCTCTTTTTCATAAAATTTGTTTCAGGTTTTCCAAGACCATAGTTGTTATTGTTACTTCTTAAATCATATCTGTCATTTATTTTAATTTTGAACATGTTGCAAATTGATGATGGCATTTTTTCGTTTCGTATTCTGTGCATAAAAATCGATTTATTGGTTTTATAGCGTTGGTTTAAAGGTTGCCAGTCTAATTCTTTTAAAACATCCTCAGAACTAACTTCATAAGTTTTACCAGTGATGATTCGGGCTGCTCTGTTTTGTAATTTCTGAAGTCTGTTTTTTAAGTAATCACAACAGTTATCCCAAACCAAGCTACAGTAATCAAAATGTGATAACACAATGGCATTATATATTTTTACTAAGGTTGATTTGGGAACAAACTGTTTTATTCGTCGCATCATTCCTATTCCTTTTGAAGCTTTTGTGACAATATTTTGGATTTGATGATTCCATAAAAGATGTTCATCAATAATTACGCCTAAAGTTTTTGATTTGTGAACCCGTTTAATGACTGATTCACCAAGCTCAATTTTAGGGTCCGTTAGTACTAAGTTTGAAATTCGTTGTCTTGAACCAATAATCATGTATTCAGTTTTATCTTTGTTAAGTGTAAGTTTGTTTGCAAGTAACCATTGGTGTATATTTTCTAAGTCCACGTTAATGCGTTCTTGTAGTTCGTCATTTGTTTTGCCATTGGTTGAAACATTTGTGTCATCGGCAAACATGCTTGCTGAAGATGAGGTCAGGCAGTTTGGCAGGTCGTTTATGTATAATAAGAAATGAAGTGGCCCAAGATTAGAACCTTGGGGTATTCCACATTTAACTGTTCTTGTCTTGGACATTGTTTGATCTACCTTACATATTTGAATCCTGCTAGAAAGATAGGACTGGAACCAAGCAAGCGTATGACCTCTTATTCCATAATAATGCATTTTTTTTAACAATATATTATGATCAACACAGTCAAACGCTTTCTTGAGATCCAAAAAAATCACTCCATTTAACAAACCCTTATCCATATTCATTAGCCATTGGTTCGTGATGTTAAGTAGAGAAGTTTGTGTAGAGTGATTTTTCCTAAATCCTGCTTGTTGTTCTGCAAGAATGTGATTAGTTTCAAGATAAATTTCTAGTTGCTCTGTAACTAATTTCTCATATATTTTAGCAACTGAGGATAGAACCGAGATTGGTCTATAATTATCGCAATTAGTTTTGCTTCCAGCCTTATGAATTGGAGAAATGATAGCAATCTTGAAGTCTTCAGGAAATATACCAGTGTTTATAGATGCGTTAAAGATTGCTGACAGGGATGGTGCTATTACTTCAGCAGCGTCTCTTAGAAGTTTACCGGTTATTCTATCATGCCCTGCTGATTTGGATGTTTTAATTGTAGAGAGCAACTTATATACCTTAGTTAATGAAACATTTTGTATCGTAAATTGTGTATCGGACCTAGTCACGTATGACTCAAATGTTCTTGAGCTCTGTGGCATGTTATTAACCAAACGAGATGCAACTTCGTTGAAATGTGAATTTAAAGCATCTGCAATTTCATGTTTTTTAGTCAAATTTTGATTATCGTTCTGGATTTCAGATATAACAGTTGTTTTTGACTGTTTGTTTGTAAGTTTATTAATTGTTTTCCACATTTTCTTTGGGTTGTTATCACAGTCATTTAAAGTATTTGTAAAGTAAATTGCTTTTGTATTCTTAATTAATCTATTCAAATCATTTCGTGTGCGTTTATAAGCATCATGGAAATGTTTTGATCCTGTCTTAACTGCTTTTTTCTTTAAAAAGTCTCTTCGACGCATAGTTTGTTTAAAATTTTCTGTAATCCATGGCGCGTACTCGCGTCTAACTTTTTTTGTTCTTTCTGGTGCATGAAAATCTGCAACCGACAGAAATATTGTTTTCCAATTTTCACACATAATATTTGGATCAAGCATTGTATCACAGAATACTTGATCATATAAGTATGTGGAAAGGTCTGATTTAAAGTTGTTTGAGTTGTAGTGTTTGAAATTTCTTGATTTAATCACTTTTGGCTCTTTACGGGGAATGGAAATTTTTCTCTGTATATAGATTAAGCTGTGATCACTTATCCCCAGATGAATGACACCCGAGCCATTTATCAATTCCGGTTTATTGGTGAATGCTAGATCTATTAAGGTTTTACTATTAGCTGTAATTCGCGTTGGTTCACTAATTAATTGTTGAAATTGGAATGTCTGTGCAATTCCAGCAAGCTTGTTTGTTTGAGCGTTAGCGCTGTTACTATCCAAGCGAGACCAATCGCAGTTGTAATCTCCAAGTAAAATTATATATTTCCTTGTTTTCAGAGTCCATTCGAGTAATTAAATCCTCGAATGCATTGAATATTTCAAGTGTTGTATTGGGTGGTTTATACCAACTATTAATTAAGAATGGTTTGGATTTTGGTTTTGAAATTTCAAGTGTAATTGTTTCGAGATTATCGTCAGTTAAATCGTCTCTTATTATGAAGTTTATTGAGGTTCTTATGTATATTGCGACTCCACCACCATACCTAATAACTATAAGATCTTATCCGTGAATCCCACTGATCTGAAATAAGACTGGATAACGCATCTATAGAATACAAAAGTGAAGCCGGAAGTCACCGGCCGCCACCCGATTCTGGGGCCCCACTTTTGTATAGATTTGTATTACAGATGGTAGTTATTCGCGTTTTTTGCCTTGGCTACGTTTCCGATCGGGCCAATTTTACAATCACAACGATAGAAGCATACAAGAAGAATTTTGAGCAAAAAATTTGGAGTATTATGTTTTTATAACGCCGCGAAACGGGATTTACAACTCTGAAGGAGTGGAGAGCCTCAGACTTTGTTTATCAACACGAGCTCGTTTTGCTACTTTCATACAAAATCAACTCAAAATGTACAAGAATTATTGTTACTGGACGAATATTCTCACGAAATTTGAAGAAATGAAGCAGCTACATTGTGAACGAAAGCGTACAGAGGTTAGACTTTGTTTATCAACACGAGCTCGTTTGCTACTTTCATACAAAATCAACTTAAAATATACAAGGATTACTGTTTATTGGACGAATATTCTCAGGAAATTTGAAGAAATGAAGCAGCTACACTGTGAACGAAAGCGTACTGAGGTTAGTTTTAAAATACCTTGAGGCTACTTTTATAATTATACGAATTTAATAAGGAACAGTTTTAATGATGTCAGTTTTGTCAAAAGCATTCCTAGGCGACTTGTCGAGAAGTTTCATATGTTTTAAAGTAGGAAGACAAGTGACAATGAAATATTTTTAATCCAAATTATAAACAACGACTCAATATGTTATTTTAATTCATATAATTATGAAAGTAGCCTCAAGGTATTTTAAAACTAACCTCTGTACGCTTTCGTTCACAATGTAGCTGCTTCATTTCTTCAAATTTCGTGAGAATATTCGTCCAGTAACAATAATTCTTGTACATTTTGAGTTGATTTTGTATGAAAGTAGTAAAACGAGCTCGTGTTGATAAACAAAGTCTGAGGCTCTCCACTCCTTCAGAGTTGTAAATCCCGTTTCGCGGCGTTATAAGACATAATACTCCTAATTTTTTGCTCAAAATTCTTCTTGACATGTATGCTTCTATCGTAAAATTGGCCCGATCGGAAACGTAGCCAAGGCAAAAAACGCGAGAAACTACCGCCTGTAATACAAATCTATACAAAAGTGGGGCCCAAAATCGGGTGGCGGCCGGTGACTTCCGGCTTCACTTTTGTATACTATAGATTAGCCCGCGTGCAGGCCCAAGGGAACTGATAGTGGGCCTGCAAGCAAGGTCCGGTATTTTGTAAAACGCCCCTTTTCATAACACGCCCCATTCGCGCGTCAATTGTCAAAAAAGAACCAATGACAGCACCCAAATATTAACAAACAAACTCGCATTAAAATGTTGCGGGGTTTTCTCTGCTTATCCAGAACATAAACAATGTGTAAATGGCTGCGTTTTAACTCCGAAAAAAGCAAGCAACGCAGTCAGTAATTGCCAAATTTGCAAGTGCTCATTTTCAACTAAAATCGGAACAGGCACTAAATTAGGACGAATTTCAACAGAAAACCAGTCTCAAACTTCAAATCGTGAGGGAAGTCGTGCGACCACTTTAGCATTTATAATTGTGCTTCGCTGTTGCCATTGTTATAAATAAATTGTCTCACTTATCAGATCATGTGTGCAATATTTCTTGTTGGCGGCGGAAAGTACGAAATTTATTTCAGTTATTTCATTTGGTAAAGAACTCTACAAAAGAAGAGAGCGTTCAGAGTCCAGATTGTTTCGTTTCAAACGGCAATTTAATACCGTCTTCTGTTTCGCTCTCTCAGCGAAGCCTTGTAAATCGCAAAGTGTTTCGAATAGGTTTAAATGCGACTGCATCTCAACATCAACCAAAAGATAATTTTCTTGAGGAACATATAACGTATCAAGTCTGTTTGAAATTAATGAAACTCAAGTAAAGGTTACTATAGTTTACCCCAGTCGTAATGAGTGCTATTCCAACACCTCACGACAAGCAATCCCCATTGGCATAACGGCAAAAACATCTCTTCCCTCAAGTAAACAATAAACAGTCTGTTCTTGTTCCATTTATAATCGAAAAAAGTGATCAATTTTCGAATTTTAAGCTTATCGAGAGCCTTTGTGATGAATCACTTATCTAATTATAGAATCTCACAGCAAACAGCCAATCAGAATGCCGCGTTCGTGTGCGAACGCGGAAAGTACAAAATACCGGGCCTTGCTTGCAGGCCCACTATCAAGTTCCCTTGAGCCTGCTCCCTTGGGCCTGCACGCGGGCTACGATTTCACTCGCGCGCGGGTGGCGAGGATAACGTCTGATCTATATAAATCGTTTTTTAAACTGTACTAAATGTAGGGAAGCCATTAAGGAAATGACATGTGAAAACGTTTTGCAAAAAAATTCTTGGAAAAAAATGACCTCACGAACAAAAACAGGTAAGTTCGCGTTTTAAATTAAGATCGAAATTTTTTGTCAAAACTTTCACTGACAGTTATTTGTACAGAATTGCTAGGTGATGTGGATTCGATAAGTTTATGAACGCCATTTTAAGCTTTGTGAAATTGCCAACCTTTGTTAGTTTGTCAAGATTTAAATGTTAGAAGTTTTGATATATACAGACTATAGACCATGCAGGGACGCCGGAACGTTGTGAAGGCAAGGGGGGCAGATTTTCGTGAAAGGGCACTTTTGAATTGATATATACTAAGAGATGTTTGCAAAACATCGGGAGTTGGACTTCGCCTAATCATGTTTTCTATTTATTGGATGATAGGGGTGTAAGGAGGTTCTCCACCAGGCGATTGTGCTATTCTCGAAGCTCGATGACTGCATTTCTTGCGTTTTCTGAAGCAAATTCGCAAAAGAATCGCACTAACAATTCTGACAATTCGGTATTTCGCCAAGGCAATCCTTTAAATTGAAAGGGCACCTTTGCCCCCCCCCTTGCCCCTCTTGGTAAAGGGCAAGGGGGCGGCTTCCCCTCCTGCCCCCCCCCCAGTTCCGGCGTCCCTGAGACCATGCAAGCATCTGAGCGTCTCTTTGGCGATATTGCCAAGCTTAAATTACCTCCATCTGAATAAATTGACTATGGCTGCAAATAAAAAATATTTAAAAGTAAAAAATCGTTTTTTATACTAAATATACATATTTATTAACAATTACAAAGTGGGAAATTACTTCAACAGTCTTTAATTACAGATTGAAGTACTACAGCATGAAATTTAGGTAATTTATGCTTCATTAGGTGAACTTTTTCTTGTTTCTTGTTTCTTGCAAGAAAATATATTTACTCATCATGCTTTAAGTTATCTGTAAAGATACCGGTAAATTTCTATTTTTCTATTTGATTTATGTGTGGTCTCATGTAGTGTCAGTGGGGATGCATTGTGGAACAGCATGCAGTGTTCGCATGCTCGGGTGCAAATTTAGATTGCCGCTACATATATCTGCTTTTAGTTGCTGATAATTCAAATCCTTGGGGGGCTTTTGTTCTCATGATCATGCATAATGCAAGTTTATTTATGCACCTGCTTATATGGTCTGCATAGTCCATGTTTTGAATGATGACATGCAAGATTTGGGGATGGTTGATAGTGTTCCCACCATCTGCCTATACTGCATGACAACACAACAAATTGAGTAACAGCAACTGTATACGACAATGTGAAAATGATCTTCATTATTATTCTTCATGTCACAATATTTCATAGCTTTCTATCTTATAGCCCCCCACTTTGAAGGTTTGGGAAACTTTGATACCGTGAGAGCAAGACTAATGTGTCTGAAGCATAGACAGACAGTAGACAGTTAAAATAATTAACAAGTTTTAGCTATCAAAGTCTTCTTAACTTTTTACAGCTTTGATTTTATATTTGTCAATATACCGTAAACCTCCGACTATAAGCTCTGGGCTTGTATTCTTTCGTAAGCGATTTTTGATAGGGGGGGGGGGGTTATACGGGGGGCTTATACATGGACGATCTTTTGCGTTGGTGGAATAGTGATAAACAAGTATAGTAATAGTGATAAACAAGTATAGTAATAGTGATAAACAAGTGTTAAGCATAGTAATAACAGTGATTAATAGTGGTAATAGTGATAAACAATAGTGATAAACAAGTGGGCTTATATTCGGGTGGGCTTATATTTGGGGGGGGGGCTTATTTTTGGAATGAGGTGAGCGTTAGTACATGTGGTGG